GCTGGTGGTGGTGGCGGTGGAGGTGGCGGTGGTGGTGGCGGCGGCGGCGGCGGTGGCGACGATGCTGATGGTGGTGGTGGCTGAGGAGGAGGAGGAGGAGAAGGAGGAGGATAGTCCGGCACACTCGAGGAAGCCAGGACACCCACGGCGCCGACGCCTGGTTTGATACCGACCAGCGGCACGGTCGATAACGCCACGGCAACCCCCGGGTCGTTCCGGCTTTCCTCTCCCTCTCTCACCTTCCCGTTCATCCCCCTCCATGCTTTACGTAGAGCTTTCTCTGTCCTGCTTCTTCCTCGTGCACGCAGCATCTTCCCGCGAGCCAGTCGGCTCGTGCTCCACATCCTCGCGACCGCCGCCGCCGCCTCCGCCGCCGCCGCCGCTGCGCCTTCAATACCGCATCTCTACATCCTCGCACACACACGCCAACCTTCGCTCCTGTCTCTGCCTCTGCCTGCCTGCCTGCCTGCCTGCCTGCCTGCCTGTGCCACTGGTCTGTCCTCCCCCGCTCACACAAGCAAGAGAAGGGCCGGCGAGAGCTGCCGAGGGAGAAAGAGGTCCGCTTGCTGTACGAAGAGACCCTCGTCCTCGCTTTCTCTACCCTCTCGGTCGCTTGTTCTCCCCCTCTGTCGCGCGCTCCCGTTCTCTCTTCCCGTCCCGTTCTTTGTCCCTCCTCGAGGCTGCCGGAGGCAGACGTCACCCACGCGACTCGTCTCGCGAAATAAGCGACTTGCGCCTGTGCGGCTGCGTTTCCGCCAGAGTGGTATCGTCGATCGCCCAGCTAATTCCTCGAGCTTCCCCGCGCGCACAATCGTTGGACGAACCTGTTAATCCTTCGAGACGTAGATTTCGTATGCGTCGTGAAGCTGATAATCCAACGTTACACAAAGTGTCCCTCGTGGGACAAGAGTACGAGAGGACAGATTTTTTTCAGATTCCTGCCAATTCTCTCTTTCTATTTTGCACTTATTCTTTTTTCATCTTTTTTATAAAATGTTCAGGATTATCATGCTTTCGCGAAAGTCTGCTCGAACAATTGGAACGCAGAATTTTTTTATTTCATCTTGTGCAGACATGGAAGAGTGAGCGTGAATGGGATCATCTCGATCATGTCGAAGTTTAGTCTATATTTCTTGGCTTCCGGTTAATATCGGAGTAGAAAATTGCAGGCAAAAAGTCCAGATACTTCTTTAATTAAAGTATCGCAATTTGAGTTCGCTGAAAAAGTGCAAGTTCGCGAGGTCTGATATCGCTCGCGCGAGTCTGCTTAATGGGTTAACGCCCGGAACTCTTCCTTATTCCTAAGTACCTTCAATCATTCTGAAGCTTAAATTGTTCATATCTGTCTCATACTTTCTGAGAAATTGGGAGCTCCGTTCCGGCTGGTATAAATGAGCGGGGAAACCATTAGCGAGCGCAGCGCCCGTACGCCATGACCATATGGCCGCGCTCGGTGTTACGGGGTTAATATTTATTAAGTCCGCGCTGCACAATTCGTGCGCTCGAATTGTCGAATTTGAAATCAGAGCTCTTCCGTGTCCGTAGAGGGTCACCCGAATCAGGTCAAACGTCAGCGTATTTCGTATATCTAGCCGATTCAGTAGCACCGACAATACGTAATATAAAATTCAACGAGATCTCTGCGGTCGGTTCGCGCAGACAGTCCTATAAATCGAACGTTTCTAAATTCTGCAATTTCAACGTTACTCCAAAGTTGCGCAAGGATCGTCCTGATGGTACACGGCGAAATTCTATTTTCATCGAGCCGACATCCGGCTATCTCATTACGGAGCTTCTCGCGATTTTGATGCAGCAGCAGCGGCAGCAGCGGTAATGAGAAAAAACATTACTTTACATCGCAACGAATAATTACACCACCTGAAACAGTTTCGCAGCGATAATCATCGAACGTCGGATTACAGTTGGGGTCGTGTGTGCCATATTATTCTTTCGAGCGTTGGGGTAAAACTGTACAGGGTGCGGCGCCAAAATCCGGACAAATTATACCTTTTTTCTAAACATATTTTTTATTGCAAAAACGAAAAGGTTTACAAAATTTTGTTAACCACATTGTTTGTAAGGCCATAAAGAACACATTTACTCAATATATCCCCTGCTTGCTTGAATAACCGCCTCCATTCTCGATCTGAAGCGTGCCCAGGCGCGCTTTAATGTGTCATGGTCCATATCGATGAATGCCGCTTCAATAGCTCTCAATGATGCGACGTTTGGATGTCTGGACTTGTTCGTGACCCTTTCAACTACGCTCCATACATAGAAGTCCAAAGGATTCAAATCTGGGCTGTTGGGAGGCCAGAATTCTTTCGACCAAAACATGTCGACGTTGTCCGACAACCAATTTTGCACCAAATGACTCACTTTATTCGTGTAAGACTTGTAGCGGAGGTCCTCCTCGACGATTCGACGCATAGTTTTCTCGCTCACACCAACAACCGACGACAATTTTCGGATCGACTGCCCTGGATCCTCAAAAATCAACTCCTGAGCCCGTTGAATGATGTCGGGCGTTCTGACAACGCGCTCCTTCGAGTGGGTTTTCCTCGCCGATGTTGCAAAACCTTCGTTGGACTTCTCCGATTCATTGTACTTTGCGATGACATCATACACAGTCGATCTCGGGTACCCGAAGAACCGAATGATTTCTGTCGCCGAGCGCCCAGCGCGAACACTTTCGATAATCGTGGCTCTTCGGTTATACTCCGCATTTGGTTTCAATATTGCGACTGTTTCGAGGTTATGATAGTTTAGTACATGCGTCAAGCTATTTGAACGCTAATCGCGACATCTACCAATGATGTAGAACGGCGAGAATTTCAAATTGAATTTTGTCCGGATTTTGGCGCCGCACCCTGTATAATACGCTCAAAGACGGGAATGATGACTTTGCGGGCGCCTGATGCTAATACTATTCTAGAGGCTTCTTAACGGAGCAGAAAATTAATAATGAAAAATCAGAACACTGATGAAAAGTCAAAACAATTTGATTTTGTAATTGTTCGCCCTTTTAACGTACTCGCGATCATCGATAGATGTGGATTCTTGTGTAAAAAAGGAGATAACAGACTAGATAAGAATTTCTATGGAATAGTTCTGAAAACAAAATTTTTGAAAATAAAATAGCAGTGTAGAGCGAAAAAAATTTTGATTAAAAAAAAATTCTAAGATTTTTCTTAGATTAGAAATTCTTTTAAACTCAAATATCGGTGAGGCATTTTGTCAATATCATGTAATGTAAAACATCCTAGGCTTGTGACAATATGCCCCTTCACATATAATTTTATAATAATGAAATCATTCCAAGTCTCAAGAACGTCTGAAGAAAGTTATAAAAATAATGTATATGAGGGTTATCACATATATCGATCAGCTGATCGCACCAGGCGTTCCATGTCAGTGCCTGCGTCTGACGATGAGTTGCGTCTTCCTTGTCTACCTCCCATACTCAGCTCGTAATAAGCAAACTAT